CCTGGCACACCTTTTTGTGATCTTGGCTCAGCAAAAACCGGAAAACATCTCCAATCCCACCCCCATTTTCCGGGATAACCCACCCATACTGTCATGGGGGAAACCTTGCATCTAAGAAACCCTGATGATTCCCATGCAAATATCAATCAATGGCTTCAACCATGGTTTCATTTGCTGCGCATGGATTCCATAACAGAAGGGTACAAAAACAAAAAAAAACTCCCAGCCCCCCATATCCCCCATATCCCCCCAAAATTTTCCACCGTGGCGAAAAATGGCGCGCCTGCTTCAGCTGGTGCTGCACCTGCCGGCTATCCGCGCCTTTGGCCCCCGCGCCCCACGTCACCACCGAGCCGTTGGTCAGGATGGCCGCGAAGGCCCCGTCGGAGGCGGCCACCTCCGCTCGACGCGCAAAGCGTCAGAGACCCACAGGGCCGGAAGCTGTTTTGTTCATCTTATATGTTTTATTATTTTTGTTCATCTTTAAAAAAAAAGAAGCCAGTGGGTTGGTTGTGTTTCTCTCTTTTTTGATGAAACCCATACATGGATAAAGCCCAATGCAAGGCGATTTCGAGTGCTCTTCTTTTTCGAGGCTCGGAGAAAGCCTAGGCTTACCAGCCGGCGTCAACATGCACGAGCGGAAACCAAACACCCAACAGCGTTGTCAAGCCATTGACACACCACGCGCGGCAAGCATTCCAGCCTCAAAACCCCGCCGGAAAAGACCTGCTATTCGTCACGTTGGCCTGTTGCAACGCAAGATGCTGGCTCCAGGGAATTCTTGCTCAACAAGCCAGAAATAAACAGAGCTCAACGGAATAAAGCGGGCATCAATCAAAAACCTGCTGAACACGGCAGTTGCATGTTCTTGTCTTTGGCAACTTTGCAACTCAGTCAAGGTGATTACAAATGAGCCATCTGTCTCCCTCTTGAGCCAAACAGCAGAAAATTCCTGAATTCCACCCAACTCCACCAAAACTCCACCAAAACTCCACCAAAACTCCATGAAGTCCCAGGTGGGAAAAAGAAGAAAAAAAACGCTGCTAGGATCTCCCCGCCTGCATCACGTGCCGCAGCTGCTCCCGTACCGTGGAGGAGTTGCCCCCTTCCTCAGGGGTGCGGAAGGAAACTCCTTACGCGCCGGCCCCATTTGCCATCAAAGTCACCCCCGAAGTGGTGGGTAGGGCAACAGCACCATTTTCCGGCTTTGACAACCCCCAGAGACGGTCAAAATAATGATTGACGTGTCGTCCAAGGATCTGGACCGGGGAGGCGGTGGCCTAAACAAACGTTGCAGTGCCAACCCTGCCTCCACTTCAAAACAGGGGGTGGTTTAAACGAAATACTTTGCAACCTTATTCAACGAAAATGTTGCTATTGCACCCCTGTTCCTCGACCAGGTGGTTTGAAACGCAAAACTTACGCCATTCCAACCCCGCCCTAGTCGCCAGGGAGGGGGCAACCCCTTGTTTCCACATCTGCAAACCACTATCGCAAACGCTCTCCTTTTGGTTTCCATTCAACAGCGACCATGTTGACTGCTGGAAATCCTAGTTGTGCAGTTGTGCCCCTCGAACAACTCCACATTGCGTCCACCCAACCGAAAAAGGTATGTGTTGGATAGGGAAACCCTGCAGAAAACGACCCAACACAACGGGTTTCAACTGAGTTCGAGATCAACCTTTCCAAGCTGGCACCTCCCAACGACTCCTTCTGTTTGCTCGGAATCCTTCCAGAAACCAAATTAAGGGATCCCCAAGTAGAGGACCTTTATCACGTGGCAAGCTCGTTACACCCCCGAGCTCATTATATATAGAAATAGCTCTACATATATATATATATATATGTGTATATATGTGTATATATATATATATATATGTATATATACATTAAAAATACAAAAAAAAATAAACATAACTACATATATTTGTATATATATATATATACAAGAGCAGAACTTCTCCGCCGCCGTCCTCCTCCCTGCCCCAGGTAACCACCGCGCCCCCGGTGACCCACAGGGCGAAGGCCCCGCAGGTGCTCACCACGCTCAGCGGCTGAGCGATGGCCGTCAGCCTAGCCGGACCCTCAGACCTGCCTTTGGGCCTCTGGCCTGTGTTTGTTGTTGGATTTTGCGGACTTTGGGGGAGTGTTGGGGGAGTTTTAAAAACCAATCTCAATCATCGCGTTCAGGGCAAGTCTGGAAAGCCATAAAAGGGAAATCCCCGCGAAGGATCCAAGCTGGAAAAACTGAACCTGGGGTGGGCCAGTCCCCAACTCACCTGGCACTTGACACCAAGAAAACCGACCCCAATGCAGACCCCCAAGAAGTGGAAGCTGAGCCGCGGCTGGGCTGGGGGGTCGGGCATGCTTCAGGCAGCACTGGCTTGAGTCCTCAAAGATGATGACGCTTCCGCATGAGGCGAAAAAAGGAAAGGCCGGGAGCGCCACAAAGGGGAGGATGGCAGGTTGCCACGCGTTAAAACACGCGTTAAAACTTCGGTCTTGTACGCAATGAGACCCGGTAAAACATCTCCAACACCAAATGGATCATCCGAGTCTCCTTTTTTCTTTTGGGCCGAGGTGCGCGTCCCCATCCTGCACGCCAGCCTCCTTCAAACTCAAAGAGGACCCGAGGCACAGTCCTGTGGGTCGCAATCGATTTCGCTGCCGAAGAGGGCACCGCAAAACGCATGTGTGCTCCCTGGCAGCCTTTTCGATGTCGACTTAGGATATGGATATTGCCATTGATGGTGCCATCGATGGCAGATGATGATGATGATGATGATGATGATGATGATGATGATGATGATGGTGGTGGTGGTGGTGGTGGTGGTGGTGGTGGTGGTTGATGATTGCAATGATAACGATGGTCATGATGATGATAGTGGTGATGGTGATGGTGATGGTGATGGTGGAGAGGTGGAGAGGTGGTGAAGACTGCTGCTGCGGGCACTGATGCTGATGCTGATCGTTGTTGGGCCTCTGCCATGTTGGCTTTTAGACCCCAGGTTTGGATTCAAGCCCCCTGTGCCAATGGGTCAGGGGCCATGGGGCCATGGGGCTCTAGGCTTTCTGTTCGTATGCGGCAGTTCCCCAAGCAAGCCTAGCCTTATCCCTTTGGCGTCACAGCCCCTGCGCTCCTTTGGAGGACACCAGCCGCAGGAAGCCGATGTGGAAATGGCTTTGGGCCATGGCCTCCACGTCGCTCACGAAGGCATCGGCCGAGGCATGCAGGGAGGTCATGCTACCGCTGGGCAGGTAGACCTCACAGGTCTAGCCAGACCGACCGCAGGCGCCAGGCCGCGGCAAAGGAAGCAAGAAACCAGCAATCTGTGACGACTTTCAAACTTCCGTCCGGTGCCCCCTCAGGGTAATTTCTTCAGCTTGACTCAAGCTACATGGTCATCGTCAAATCCGATCCCGCGATCCAGGAAAGTCCCAAACGGAACGAAAAGGACTGGTCCGGGCCGTGAACTCGCAACTCATGTTCAGGAAACCAAGTATTCAGAGCAACCCATCTGGTCCGAACTCTTTTTGTGGCTGATCATTAGTTTCCTTTGTAGGAACCCTTACAATGATGTTTCTAAATCTGACATTCAGGGGTCCACCGGGTCTGCTAACACCCATGGGGTCATTTGATGCGAGCGCCAACCGAAGCGGTCCGAAGGGTGCCTCCAGTTCCATCTCGGGTCCCTTCTGTCGCAGTAGCCGACGCTTCCAGTTGAGCGGCATGGGACGCGGCACTACCTTCCAGCCACATCTGAGCAAGGCGCGACGGATCTTTTTGGAGCGCCCGGCAGTGCCAGACGCGCCGAATTGGGGAAAGGGTACGCAAAACTCTCCGGACCGTCCGGCCGTCAAGCACGGCGATGTGCGCAGTATCAATATCCAACTCACCTGCCCCACAAATCCTCTTTAAGTGCATCGCAGACAGTGCTTGCCTTTCTGAACACCTGCATTGTGTCCCAGAAACGGTTCATGATGAAAATGCCTTGCCAAGCAGATTCTCCAACAAAAACACGACTCGGGCGACGCGAACCCGGTCTGCAAACTCAGTGCCCTCACCTTCTGCGGATGGATGGGCGAACACCTCGGCAGTTCTTGCGTTTGCTTCGCGTCCCGGGCCTCCGAGATCGGGATGGATGGCAGCCGTTGCGGAAGTCCCAAAACACGGGCGATCGCGCCCACCGAAGCTGCCACTAGAACCAGTGGCGGACAACCCGGTGGCTAAATGGCTTCCATGAACAGCCCCACAAACCGCATGTGTCCACATCGGAAACTCATCTGTGTTCAAGAAGGACTCCCTGACGGCCAAACAAGCGTGAAGCAGCACGCGGTCAACATTGGGAAGGGCAGCCGGGCTAAATACATGGGTATGTGTCAAGACTCTAATAATTGTTGTTGTTTTTATTCGTGGTCTCCCTTTATCCAACTCCAAAAAGCGTACCCTAGACACAACACTCTAAATGCTGTCAAAAGATAGCCCGAGCGAAGTGCCAAATGGCTGAATGGCAAGAGCTAACTTGGATTCAAGCATCATTATCTGATGAATTGCAAGTGAGCTTGACCAGCACAGTCAAGCCTTACAATCCTGATTCATCTGACAGCCCTTTCAAAAGAAAACATGGTACTTGTGGCTCTCTGCTTCTTCATGATGATCAAAAACACTGCGAAGGTTCGCAGTGGTTAGCTTGCAAGAAACAATTCGTGCCCCCCTAAATGTGCAGGCACACATGTTGTAAATTCTGGGACATGGACATGGAACAAATGGCCATGGGGGTCAAAATCCAAATCGTAGCCCTCAGTGAACATCCGATTCAATCCAATCACCAAAATAGGTTCTAAAAAATGGGTGCTGAATTCACCTACCAACCAACATGCGGTTTTGACCACCACCGCCAAACGCCTTCCAAGCGCCAAAGCCTTCCGGGCCCGCCGGCTTGGCAGAGACCAGCACCGCGTGTGGCAAGTCCGCCTGTGAGAAAAAAAAGTCCTCGCACTGAAGGTGGACCCCCCTCCAACAGAAATTAAGAAGGGCCTATTGGTTCTACTAACAACAACAAAAAACAGATTCAGTTCTAAAAATATGCGCCGAAAATCCAGGGCCCTTGAAACAAGATGGTTTCAAGGCAGGTTCTTGAGGCCCCGCGGGTTTGCAAGCCCGTGGCCTAGCAACCGATAGCAAAAGCTACCAGAACTCGTGGTCAAGACCAATGGCCTGGTTAAGGGGCACCGGGTACCATATGCATTGCTCAGTACAAGCTCTGAACTTGCACAACGCTCAAGAGTGAATTGTTGATTTGATAAAATAACAAACCCTGCCCATGCTTTCTGCGAGCGCAACCGATCTAACTTGAAAGAGCCAAGTTCAAGTCTTCATTAGCGTCAACAGATTCATCTACCTGGACCAACCAACCCGGTGGACTAAAGGGAGACAGCCACACAAAGTGAAGGATTCCCCCATGAACGGGACCTTATTAATAATTTGGGAGGTTGTTCAACCTGAGTGCCCATGTATCTCCAAGCCGCCTTTATCTCGCGGTTTGAAACCGCACCTTTGCCCCATGCCAGGACCTTTCCCCCCCTCAAGTCGTGTGCAGCTGGCAACCAAGGCGGCCGGCTGAGCGGCACCCTGGGGTTGTCTAGCAAGGCCCATGGTCTCATCCCAAACTGTGAAGTGGCCACTTTGTTCCGTTTTTCTTTTTGGACCGCATCTTCAACAAACACAACAGGGATCCTTACACTATACACCTGAACATTGCCTTGTAAATGGTGGTGTCCCTTTATTTTGGTGCAAAAAGCCATGTTTCAAATGGGCAAAGTGTATCTTTTAAGGAGCCCTGCACAAGAGCATGGGCAAGCACCAAGTTGCCTCAGACTACCAAACCCCACACTTCTTATTCAGGAGGGTACCTTCCAGTAATAACTCCTTTCTTCCAGGTGCACGCAAACGAATGACTGGGGGGTTCATGTGTCAGGGGTCAACATATTCCCTGGCCTGCAGCGTCTTCCAGTTGTACTCTGAGATGAAGCGCGGCTGCACGGCCGCCCTCATCGATTCCGTTTCCCCGGGACGGAGAGTTCCCTCACTCGCAAGCTGTCCAGTCTAAAACCCCACAGGGTACATGACCATCCTAAGCACAAGGAAGTAGGTGTGACTGACCATGCCACCTATGAGACCAAGACCGCACGTTGCCCTTCCGCTGATTCACAGATGAAACAAGTGATAGACATTCCGAAGTGCAGTCCACTCCTTCTACCAATCATCCCGAGCCATACTGTTGCACGAGCAAAATGATCATCAATCTGGGCTGATATGTCATTTCCATTTCTTCGGTACATCGATCGAAAATTCGGAATCACTCGTACTGACTAGACCTTTTTCATGATCATGACTGCAGTGAGGTGTGCTTCAACGCACGCAAAACCCGGTCTGAGGCACAGAGATTGGCACAACACTGACACCGAAGCCGATGTCGTAAACAAGAGGATACTCTGCGAAAAGCATGCCGGTAGTCTGCATTTTCAGTATTCCACTCACCTTCATGTCCTGACTAACCAGTGGAGATCCTGCGCTTGTGCTGTGGCGAGGATAGCTTAGAAGATGTCACATTTTTTGGATGAAACAACATGAAATAACCACATGTCAGGAATACCAAGAATACGCAATCGGAGATTCTGGGAAGAATATGTGTTTGATTTCTGAAATGAATCTCTGGTTTGTCAAGCCTGGGCTTAGTGCAGGCATTCTCCAGGAACTTTCGCACAGAAATGGTGACTCACACCTGAAAGGAGTAAGGTCCCACCATTGTGCACAGCTCGCACGGGTCAGAAATGTGGATTTCCGAAATGCAATTGCATCCAAAGGTGCACAACCAGACACGCATCACATATATCCACACAGCATGCATTACAAAATAACTGTGCCATTGGGACGGGAATTCAATTGCAAACCTACTGAGCAACTCAACTCAGTCTGCATGAGGCTCCCCGCATGGCTAAAGCAGCACTGCCCGGCGGCAAAAACAAAACGATTCAAAAATGCTCAGAGCATGCCTCAGCTGTCAACACCTCGTGTCTCTGCTTGGCAAGGCTAGCCGACCAAAAGCGACAACTCCCAGGGGCATGATAGGCAACTGGAGTCTGCACCTTTCTGATTGTTCACGTTCGAAACCGCAAAAGGGAATCTGCTGATGAAAGAGAGCAACCTGTTGGAAGAGAGGCCTTTGGTATGGGAACAATCTGTTGACATGGTCTGCCGACAAAGAGTGACATTGGATAACACCCAACTTCATGTATCTGCGTGGCAAAGCGTCTCGCTGGAGGCGCGCGGGCGCCAGAACTTCCAGTCAGAACAGGCGAGGTACCCGACACCCGACTCCGGACTTCGGATTGCCCGGAACTGGATGAGGGTATCCACTTGAAGGCCATTCCCCTCAAGCCATTCCACGTTGAACGGGATGCATCTCTCCGAATCCAAGCGGAGGCCGTAGAACATGTCGGCAAACACTTGCCCCGACAACTGGCGGATTAGTTGAAATATGTTGAGTCAACTCAACCGAAACCCAGTGTCTATATAAGCCTTCGTGCCTTCCCATAAATGGTCTGACCAAATGAGTCGGCATGGGCATTTGCATTTTCTGAGATCTCGTGTCTCCAACTTCCGACTGCCAAACTCCACCTCAGACATGGCCCGAAAGCCAGAAACAAGGATCCCTGATGCATTGGTCTTCTTTTTCTCCAACAGGCCATCCGCTACATCTTCTGTCGCTTTGCTGGGCGCACGGTCTGATGGTCCTGGCCAGTATCAGCTGAGGAGCTTTGATGGTTGGAACACCCTCACAAATGGTTGGTAGTTGGACAAAGCCTAAGCTCTCTCTCTCTCTCTCTCTCTCTCGCTCTCTCTCTCTTTCGCTCTCTATCTATCCCTGTCACTCTGGACGGCAGTTGGGATTGAAGACAGCTAAAAAGGCTATGTGCTCAAAGTCAAGCAGCGATTCTGCCATTCCGATCCTTGATGCCCTTTGTCAAAGAGGATCTGCTAAGGGTCCCCACAAAATCACTCCAAGCAATCCTACGAACTGCCCAAATGAAAGACTAATTCCAAGTCACGGGATTCCTCAATCATTAATTTGGTTGACTGTGAAAATAACCAGCGGGATTAAGCAGCTTCATGATCATTACCCCGAGGGCACAGTGTGCTTGTTTCTTTGGACAGGGCCTGGCATACACACCTGTGTTGATGAAGTAGCACCTTAGGTTTGAGTCTCAAGCTACCACAGTCAGAAACTTTTCGGGCCACGAGTAGTAGCTTTGGCCAATCAAGCTGAGTCAGCTGCTGAGCTGCATCCAGAGCATGAATGGAACGAAACGCAAACATGCATGTGTGGTCCTCCTCTCCTGCAAGCAGGCAATTCGGGCATAGGCTGGCCACAAATGGCCTTTAGCACAACGTGAGTACAAGCAGACGGCAATTGTCTACTTTATGTCAAAAACCCAAGTCCCGCGCAAACCGCACACCTGGGCTTCGCAAAACACTCCAGGCAGAATGCTGGCCATTGGGAAAGCACAGTCGAGCAACTCGTGGCCCGGCTTCGTATTGAAGAGTAATAAGGCGAGTCTTCGATCTCTGAAGCTCCAAGCCCAGAGTCACACCTTCAACTTCACGGGTCCCATCAGCCATAGCAACTGTCAAAAGAGTCCCGATTGCTGAAAAAAACAAAAACGAACACATGAGGATACAAATAAGAATGAGTCGGTTCTCTTGGTTTTCCTTGGACACGAGAGTCCCTCCCACCCCGGAAGCCCCGAAGCCCCGAAGCCCCGAAGGGGCCTTCTCTGGCGCCGCGCAGGTCTGCGTGCGCAGGAACCAGGCGGCAAAACGCCTCAGAGCTCCAGCCACAAAGCGGGTCCCAGGTTGGGATATACCACCACTATTATATATATATATATATATGATATATGTTATATATATATATATATTTGTTATTTATCTATTTATATACATACACACATACAAATATAAATATATATATATAATATGTATAATTGTACTTACTAGATCATGGGGGTGGTGGGGCAGTGGTTTGGTGGTAGTGGAAACCATTTTGAACTGGCTGACGTTCAGTTCGACGGTCGACGAGCCAGGCGATCTCGCGTACGAAGAAAAAGAAAGAGGAGGCTGTGAGCTTCAACAACAATCGTGGAAGCTGACAAATTTGTATTGAAAGACTACACTTCTTCCTCACATTTTTGACAAGGCCTCCTGTCCGCTCCATGATTGTCGGCAGGAGCGTATGTTGCCTTGGGCAACCCTGGATGCCCGAGCAAAGCAAAAGATCGACTTGGAAAGCCGGACATGTGTTCAAAGGTTTATCCAACCCCAACGGATCACATTCAGCCGCTAGTCTGTGATCCTCAGGCTGCAAATGTCAAAAGTATCTCAGGGGTATTGCTGCTGTTTTTTTTGCCTTGCTCTTTCAACCCTCGGAAAACACGCACACGACACCCTCAAGATTTCGCAAGCTCCCTACACCTGTCCAGCCGCCCGGGTTGAGACTCAGGGACCCCCCACTGCAGCGTGTCTTGCCGGATGTGGCTTCGGATCGCCTCGAAGAAATTGAGGTACCTGCACAGGCATAGCAGCGCTTGCAACGTGGCAAGCAGCGCTTGCAACGTGGCAAGCAGCGCTTGCAACGTGGAAAGCGGAGCTGACTTGCCACACCCTGCCCAAAAGGAAGTCTGAAACCTTGAGCATCCATCGTTTACTTGGATGTTGCTTTGTACACAGCATATTTGTTCAAGAGGAGCTGCATGGGGTCAGCGGACGTTTGATCGGACGGAATCTCGTGTCTGCTGCTACTGGGCGATGCCGCTCAAAAGCAGCTCGATGGCATGAAGTTGCAGTTGGAACTGGCCACATCATGTCATGTTGAGAATCGAATGTTGCAAGTGTGGATGTTTGGCTCCCTCCACACAGCATCACCCACCGCCCACACTACCTCAAAACTCCTTTCAATGGTTCAACCAAAATCCAATATGACACCTACATTGTTTTGCCAACAATCGAAGCAAAGTCCTCCAAAAGGCCGCACATGCATGCCATGTTACAGGCTTCCAAGACCACAAAAAGGCGGAGGGGGACCCTGTTTTGATGGATTTTTAAGCGGGCTCCCCAAATAAAAGTTGAACCAAGGAGACCACTGGGTCTGTCGGTTTCACGGCGCACACATGGAGGTTGTGCTGCGCCAGCAGCATGGTTCCAAGCAGCTCATGCACCTCTCGGAGGCCTTTGTGTTGGTCTTGTTGTTTGCTGCTTGTTTCCTGCGGTCCCCAGAAAACGTATAACACAAACCCACCTGGCGCCTGGCAAGAAATGGCAATTGTTACTGCCACCAAAGGGCCCCCGCCGAAACTTCACGCCCATCTAGCCCCTGAAACCTGAGAGCTCGCATATCGAAGCGGTCTGGGCAAAGCAGTTGAGTTGACCAACTGCCGAGTATGATGACAGCATCTCAAGAGCATGCAAGAAATCATGAGGTTGCAACTTTCAAAGCAAGAACATCGATGGAGCACACCAATCAATCTGGCTGTCTGCCGGGCTTTCTCTTTTGCTGCTGAGGCAGAGTTTGAGCTAAACGAAAGGAGCAACGCACGCCACAAAGACACAGGCGCGACTTCCATGTTTACAGTTCCATATCTCTGGGTATCTGTGATTGACCGTCCGCTATGATATATCCGTGATCCTTGCATCGCCATTGCCAAAGGCCTGGGCAAAAAGAGATACACACCACTCAGCCCCGGCACCTCGTGGAGGTGGTACAAATACGCACGCGAGTACTGCCGCACTGGCGATGTCTCGCCTGATAGCGAACTGGAAGCTACTTCCGGAAGAACTAAGCCCAGTTGGGAAAGTCAAAACAGAGGTTCCGGACGTCAGACTTTGCTTGCATGAGAAGACCGTGCAAACAAAAACGAGGCGTGGCGGTTTGGTTGAAGGGGGCACACCCAGACCGGACAAGTCTGGACAGCTCTTTGCCGCTGTGCAGGCTGAAGTGACAAGAGGCAGCCACTAGCCACACTCACAATGAACCTTGCACGGCTGTTTGCATCTTGTGAACAAGATAATCTCGCGATGTTACAAAGAAGGAAATCAGGGAAGTATCTTGACAAGGAGGGCTTGAGAATGCATCCAAAAAGTTGTCCTGAACAAGTTATTCGAGCACCGCAAGTCCGCGTGTACTCTCGTTGACCATGCCTGTTAAGCCCAAAATCCACTGCAAGCCGGACCTTTGCCTGCAATGTGGAAGTGTGCCGAATGGGGACAACACGCATTGTGTTTCATGCGAGATGTAAACAATGCAAACTCGTCCGCATGGAAGCAATCTGGAGGCCCAACTTGGCAACTTTGCGGCAAAGAAAAAAACCGCCGAATGCTTGGAACGCTTCGAATCCCGACTGTTCGTCCCAACTGGCTCAGATGTTGCCCTGGGCTGCGGGCTGATGGGGCCAAAGTCCTGGCCGCGCGAGCCGCGAGTCTCCAATCCATGCAGTTTGATTCGTGTTGGAGTCGCCCCTTCATGTGTGTTGTGGAGGGAAACCAAAGAAAGACAGGGAAACAAAAGGAAAACCCACTCTAAGACACCTGGCTCAATTCCGGCCCAATCATTTGGGGTGAGTGGTTCTTCCGAGGGAGTTGAAGTGGAGAGGGTGACCCCCATGAATCGATGTGCGTCGTCGCCGCCTAGGGCGCCTTCCATGGTCAGAGGAGAAAAGGGTACTGAATTCTCATGGGCCGTTTGCAGGTCATTGGATCATTCCCCTCACCGGCTACAAACTACTGGAAACTTGAAGCGGATCGCAAGTGAAGCACTGGGCCTGTGACACACGATCAGATCCGAATGGTGAAGCCAACCGTCCTGTCAGAGTGGTTCGTGTATCCATTTCTGTCCAAGAACATACAACCAAAGCTCCAATTCTACATCCAGTCGCTTGGTGCAAACCAAACCACGGTTCCACCCGACGCCCAAATCCATGCGTTCCGCCCGCGCCTCGCGGCACTCGGGAGCCCGGAGCCAGAGCTGCCTGTGGCAAGTTGCATCCCCAGAGACCAAAAAGCCATGGACCTCAGTCTTGGGCTTGGTCTAAAAAGGGGAGCCAAAAGGACATATCTGTGAGACAAAAGCTTCGCACTCAAGTGACACTATATGTGTTGTGCAACTCTTGATTGAAGCGTTGGTACGACAGAGTTAAAGACTCCTGTCAAAAAACCGACAAGAGTGTGCCAAGCAGAAAAACCAACAGGTGATGTGGTGTCGAGTACCCTCCCTCAAACTAACATGAAAGCTACCAGAAGAATCAAGTCTTCCAAAGGGGTTCTGGAAGCTTCCATGTTGGCCTAGGGGAGGGATCGCGGAATCCCACTTACTTGAGAGCAAGGACAAAGAGTTTCCTTGTATCGCATCTTCGCATCTTGATTCATGTTTCTGCAAATCTCGCATTGCCCAACTGTGAATGCAGAAACCCGCGCGAAAGAATCCTTCACTGAGCTGCTTTTTCCTGAGCTTTTCGATCGCAACAGCTTGTGCTTGCATCGGGAGAACACAGAGAACACCTGTTTGAAACTTCCGGGTCCCCTATATTTGCCCTTTAAACACCCCAAAAGGAACCTCACTTTAAATGACCCCTGAAAGGTGATGAAACCATCTACAAAGGAGAACATCGGGATGTCACTTTGTCTTGCTGGCCTCACTGCCGGCGGGGGATCTTTCTCCGACTGCGGCTGGAGACTCTTCAGGACCTGAGCCAAAGCCCTCATAGATTGGTCAACCCCTGAAGGCGCAAGTGTCGGAAGTGGAAATCCAGCCAGACAAGCCAACCGACCGCCCTTTCCTGCAGGAACAGAAAAATTCTCCAGAATCCCTGTTGCCATGGTGCTCGCCACTTCCATGGCGCGCTGTAAACGCCGATTGATTAACATGAACTGATTTCTGCTCAGCTGTTCTGGCTTTTGCACACCGGACCCGTCATGAAGTGGTGTAGGGCTCCAATCAAGAATGAAGGCAACAAGCAGATCTCCACATTGGGGGACGGAGGCAACGCAAACAAACAAAAAATGCGGTTGGGGCTTCTGCATCCTGTGCCACGAGGTGTGAAAGCAACTGACGCGACACCGTGCCTCCAGGTCGGCGCCCTCTTCCGATCCTCTCGCAAGGCCAAAACAATGGCTGCCGTTTGAGGCGGGCATGCTTGGCTGGCCGACCTGACTAATTGCAAGAGATCGGACCGGACCGGACAAACTGTATGGTGAAAGACTACGGTGCACTCAATGCTAGCGGCGGTCAATCAAAACCAAGCAACAAACTGTTGCGGTGACAGCGGGTCGTGTGTCTATACCAATAACCTGGCCGGACTGTCTATACAAGGCAAGTCCCAACACCATGTCAAGAATCAAACGGGAGGGCCGGGCCAGTTTTAGCCTTACTCTTCATCTACCCACGCCAAGAAGAAGTCGGAGCGAGCTACGAACTGCGCCCAGCGAACGCGCCCCGGCCTGGCATCTCCCAGTCAAAGGTCAGCGCAATGCCAGAGGAGGCCACCTGGACTTCAGAGCGCGGAGGCGTTTTGGACAAAAAATCCCCGCCTCCCAGAGGTATGTGACCTCCAGCACGTCCACACCCAGCAGGACGGCCTACGGCACTTCACGGCAAGGGCAGGCCCTCATCACCAACTACTTTCGTATTCTTTAGGTTAGAGTGCAGGCCACTCAGGCCAAAAACATGGCTGATCCCTAAAGGTCTCTCCCTCTCCCTCCCTCTCTCCCCCTCTCTCCCTCTCTCCCTCTCTCCCTCTCTCTCTCTCTCTCTCTTTTTCTTTTTCTCTCTCTCTCTCTCTCTCTCTCTCTCTCTCTTTCTCTCTCGTTTGTTCTTTCAGCTGTTAGGTTGATATGTCATGAGGAAGCTGTATGCATCTTGTTGGAACACGATTTTCTGCATCCCTGGTGTTCAATCAGTCAATCGTCTGCCAGATTCACCCCAGTCAGGTCGTGCACCGCTGTATCTTTTTGCTCACAACACATGGTGCATGTTATTTGCATATATATATATATATATATTATAAAGATATACACACATTGTTGTTTTCCATGTTTGCGTATAAGTAGAATCAAGTATTATATGATATGGTCCAAAGAAAAGAACCGAAGCCTCGCCAGGAAACAATGAAAAAACGAAACCTCGAAAACTTCTCCCGCCTGCAGCACCTCAATGGGCGTGCCCCGGTTCAGCGGCAAGAACCGGGGCCTTGCCTCCGGGAGCGCGGCGACGCAGGCCTGGCGCACGATTTTCGTGCCGCCGGTGCCGCCTTTCACAAAGGATGCCAAGAAGGGAGAGCACAAAAAGCGCAGCAACCTGCAACTGGGATCCCAACCAGAATTTCTGCGATGATCAACCAGTTTCCTGCGCTCATGACATGCGTGTTCAGAACCCACATACCCATCCAATCGACTTGCCCATTTTACCCCCCCCCCCCCCCCACCGCGCCCCCAAGACATTACATGATTGTCCAAAAGCAACGCCATTGCCCAAATTCCCAGTCAGCATACCCATGTTGTCCACCAAAAGTGGATCAAACCCCAGTCAAATGATTCATGCTCATGTCTTTTGTCGAAGGACGAGCACGGCAAAAGGACCATGTTAACAGCTCAAAGTGGATGTCCAAAGTGGTCGAAATGCATACACGCAGTGCCATATGATTCATGAGGTAGTCTGGTTCAATCGTATCCCCACAAGCCCAGTCTAACATGTTAGACCCTTCCTAAACTCCTCATTCTCAATCTAGATAAGAGAACTTCAGTTCATTCCAAATAACTCTTCGGCAAGTAGCTTGGAGCCACCAGAGAACCAACCAACCGCTTGCCCCACTTATACCCACTTCCCCTGGTGTCATTAGCTCCTTCCCCCCAGGGCCCCTCTCCTGGAGCACCTCCGCGCGCTGCGGCAAGGGCTCGCTGTAGCCGAGCCCTGCACGACGCGTGAGCGCGCGAGACACGTAGAGCCGGCAACACCTCCGCCCAGAGCTGTTGGGTGCTGCCTATCTTGCCATCGTTTGTGGTTGTGTCTTGCTTATGCTGGATGAAATCGGCGCTTCACATGCTCATAAAACCTGAGTTTGGGGTTGAGTGAAACAATCGGGCTTGCTTGCTGAAACAAAGCAACTATGTGAAAGCTCGATCTGTGCATTGCCTCGATGCTGCATGTTTCTATATGGAAAGAGCATCTGTTCATTTCCATGCTACAGGATCAAGGAAGCGTCAAATGGACAACGCAAATGCTTCCAGATTTCACGTCGAAAGTATTGGACAAATCAAGAGCCAATAGTGCGCTACGCAGTGCTCAATGCCAAAGACTCTTCTGACACGCCCATTGAGTTCGAGGATGGATGCAGGAATGACGTGACTCTGTTAAGACACGCAGCGACAGACGTAAGACGTGCAAACAAGGCAAAAACCAAGGCAGAAAACCATGTTTCACACAGCGACAAATGTGAACAAAGCGGATAAAACTCGGTGCAGCCCACGCTGCCCATGTCTGAACAGCCAAAATCACCAGGCCTCCGATCCAGTAGCCTGCCACCGGCATGGCTGCGGCACCCTCAGCGGCCTGGAAGAGAACTGGGCTCCATTGGCCAACTCAGCCCCTTGTTTTGAACCGTGGCTTGGCCGCCAGTTGTTCAGAAACCACCTTTTTGGGCTTCTCCTTCAAGGAATTGGACCGTTACAAACACAAAAATATTGTCCTCATCATTGAGCTTTGGTAACCCCAACCATGAATCTGTCTCTTCACGGCCCATCTTGCTGCATGCGCCTTCTGCCGCAACTTGACATCAGCACCGCCCTGCGCAAGTCCAAATCAGTCAGCTTGAGAATCACACATGTTTGTCAGCCTGCTCTGAGAGTAAAGAGCAGGATTACTAAAGGAAGTTTAGCACCAAGAGCCACCGAAAGTGATTCTCAGCAAGTAGTTCAGTTCCTGGAGGAACCGAGCGTGTCAGCAGCAAAGTAGGCGAGCATGTTGCTGCATTGTGGCTCAAGGCAAAAAATAAAGGCAGCACCAATGCTCGACACACTATTTCCATAAACATGTGCTGCTACTGAGGGAATGAGCTTATTAAGCAAACCACCACTTTAGTAGGACTTGTTTTATGTACTGGCAACCTTGCTGCACGAAACCTCAAGTCAAGTGCGTAAAAATGTCACATGGTGCAAACCCCGCGGCCTGGTCAAAAAAGGCAACCAAGCAAAATGTTGCGCCACCTGCGGCAGAGTACAAGCTAAATCGTGATCAAAGTGCTTCTCCAAAACGGGGAGAACCATTTCATCTGGGTGTTTCTCAAATCAGTGGCCCAAAAGGTGTTAGTTTTCTCTTGGCTTCCTTTCGAATACAGCGCAAGCACTGTACATGAAGTTGAGGGGCTGAGTTGTTGTCCAACCAAAAAGGTTGCAACTGCTTCTTTTGCTGCAACGAAATTGAGTCCACCTGGATTCGCTCAACCAATTGTTTAGCCAAATTGTCCCATAAAGCAAATAGATGCAGCGGGCCACCAGGTGCAGGCGAAGAGCCCGCTAAGAAATTCAGGGCGTTCTTACGGCCGTTTCGGTTAACAGGCCATGGCGCTAAGAAACTCCGGGCTCCATATTTCCTAGGAGCATCTTCGCTTGGCAAAACAAGACCTTAAAAATTGCCAAGAGATTCAGCCCCCCCAAGCTCCCATTCAACACACAATGAACTTTCAGAATTGAGCCCTGTACCAATCAAGCAAGGTCCGAGTATGGATCTCCGCGATATAAATGTGTTCTTGCTTTGCAGGACAGCCTGTGTAGCCTGTGCTGACCTTCCTAGCAAAACCTCAAGTGGGGGATGATCTCAGCCACACTCCCCCCTACGCGTCCCTCACCTGGATGCTGGCCAGGACGTGCCACTCGAAGCCTCCCAATACTCCCAAAAATTGAAGATGAAAGCCATGAGAGTCAAAAATGGCTGTCTGCAAGAGTCACAAATAGTCCCAAACCCCACGCAAATGCCCGGGGTTTAAGCTTGTGGAGGCCTTCGGAAACCGGCATGAAGCCGGCATGAGGCCTGCAAAAAATGATCAGCATGGCCGGGCAGATCTGGAAATGTCATTTGGCTTCCAGTCGAAGACAAAAACAAGGTGCTACTTACTAGGCCGTGAGCATGTCATGCAATTTTCATGCGCTGGTCGCTTGCAGAATGACGTGTGAACGTGACCTTCCCCCGTCGCCCGCCTAGATCGTCTCCTGCTGCCTTGGCTTCCAAGATCTCCTCCGCCAAGACAAAAACGGGAGCCAAAGTGGTGGGTTGCGGTTCCCAGTAAAACGAGTCAAGTTCGAACGAACGTCAGCTTCGAGCAGCAAAGTCTCTATGAGCATCTGCGGCCACAAATGTGCAGCTGACAAGCCTAAGATCCTGGAGGAGCCGACATGGAAGGATTCACAGGGGAAGCCTTGCCCGGCGTGAACTTGATGATTACAGGTCTCTTTTCAGGAACAGAGCGCAACTACGCGCTAGGAAACTTGCAGAGCCTTCCTTTAACTAAGGCAAAATGCTAAAGACAATAGGCCTACAGCAAGATCCAGTAAGAGCAATCAAAGCTGCCAACAGGTGAGCATCACTTGGCAAAGGATTACTCCTCTGCAGATTAACACGGAACCCAGCAATCAAGCTTCCCCAAAAGGAAGGTCCTCTAAAATGATGACGCTCTGGGTTCCATGTTTTAATCTGCGAAAGTGTACTCAGTGGATCAGCTTCCACGACAGGATGAACCCATGAGGGGTTCGTCAATATTATGGTGGTCCCCCTTTTAGTTGGCAGTTAGACGCAAACTACAAGGAAGCCGGCCATTCTAGGTGACCGATTCCTATTTTGAGACACCCGCCCTATCCGATTGAGCCGCACCTTGAGCCATTCTGCCGCGCGCGCCACGGCGCGCTGCCCTCGCCGCGGCGCGGTGATATCCAGAGTCACCTGGCCGACGCTTGGAGCCATCCACCAAACTTCGGGCGCGGCTCAAAATTCAAGACCTAGGCTTACGCAGGTCTCTGTCTGCCTGTCCATTTAGGGGTTCCATTTTGGGCTCCTGTGTTTGACGAACTGGTCAACTGGCTGACCAGCAAAGCAGCTCACTGGCTAACTGCCTACTTCACTAGCTTGCTGAGCAATTGAACAGCTAGCTAGCCACTTGACTCACTCGGTAGTTAGCTAGCTGACTGGTAAAGTAGCTTGGCCAGGTGATCTAGCTTTTCCTCTAAACTGACCAATTGACAGCCGAACGAACCTCCTCGCCAGGTGCTGCCAGGAGGTCCACACGCATCACCTGCGCACCGATGGCATCAAAGGCCAGCCATTTGTCCTGTGTTGGACCACCCGTAGACTACAGGACTTTGCAGTCGATCCAGAATTAGTGCAGCCAAGCCAGGATGGGAGCAAAAATGTTCTTCCAAACCTTGGGTGGTTGTGTTGACAAGGAACCAGGGACCCTGTGTCAAGAAGGCAACTGTATGCTCCAAACTGGCACGAGCAAATCTGGCAAAGGTTAGAAAACTTGAACAGAACGCCTCCAATTCGGAGAATGGAATCTGGTACAGTAAGTAAGACCTTGAAAAATGAGTGAAGGCAACCGATGTATTTACAAACAACTTCCGGGTATGTTCAGCTCTTGCAGTGGCAAAGGGGGAGTCGCGCCGCCATTCCCCGAAATATCCAATGCCGCCTCTATGTGGCTAACAAGGTGGACTGCACTCAGATGATAACCCTTTTCCAATTTGCTAGTCCGAGTTGGTGCCCTCTTTGGTTGTAAAGACAATCAAAAGGAAATCAACCAGTTTGGGTGTCCCGAAATACTGAGACATTCCAAAATCCTGCACCATCTGCAAGCTAAGTGCAAAATCCGATCGTATCTTGTAGGCCTTCTGGATCTGGAGCAGCTCCTTCGCCCCAACCTGCACGCCCAAAGATTCCCACGCGCTGGATCTGCATGGCTCTAGGCTGAACCTTACAGGCATCAAAAAGCGGAGTCGACAGAGACGGTCAGCTGTTCAGTACTGCTGGAAAAAAGGCAGCTGATGGCTGCATCATGCTTTGTCTGCTCAGTTCATTAGAACATGGATGCACAAAGCGGCAAAGCATGTTCAGCTGCCGTTGCGCAATGGAGCGAGCCTGCACACATTGCATGTCAGACCACATTCTGGCTGCACATGCTGGGCCAGACAATGGAGATCTGCGAGAAACGCTTCGAAATCCCTCCTACCTCCAAGTGTGACTGTGGTGGACAAAACTGATATGCTCTGACTCTGATGCACGACCAACAAGTTTCGGTCTGCTTGATGGCTGCAAAGTGGGCTGTCTCACATTGCCACTACAGTTGACCCAAGCCAAGAATGAGCATAGCAGAAGCATGTCTATTCCTGCAAAAGGACTCCGTAGTTTCTGACGCAGCCGGGGCGTGTTGTGCCTTGCGGCGGCCGCCCGCCGTCTCCACACTGCAAACCTCGGCGCTGAAGAAACACAGCCCAAGTGCACCCGAGGTTCAAGTGTTTGGAGATGACGCGATGCCCTTGTTGCAGCGGGCTTTGCACAGTTTGCAAGATCTTCTTCTACCCAACTCGCCTAAAGCTGCTCTTCCGTGCAGCCCACTTCTTTGAGGTGGCACTTCGGCGCTTGTGCCTCAACGTGCCTGCAAGCTGACAAGCTTCCACAGGAGACAACTCAAGACACACACGGGCTCCATTTGGAAAACCGGCGGCTGCTTGCACGCCACACATCCTCCTGTGACCACAAGACACGCACAGCCAAGGCCCGGCTACGTCCAAGCCGTCTGGCGTTTTTCTGCCTGGCTCATCTCGCAGCCCACACTGGCCCCTCTTTTGCTTCAAGCTGAGACAGGCCCAGAACGTGGTTGAGGCTTAGTACCACCGTGTGAGATCACAGTGAGAGGCGCCTGCGGGAAGGGCTTCCGTTCGCGGATGTCACGCTGTGCAGAAGGCGCTGACGTTTCCGGAGCCTCTTGCGAAGCCAGCAAGGATGGCGCCTTATGCAGTTGCTCTACGCTTCCCACCTAGCACAGAAGCTTTCATTCACTTACTCACTCACTCACTCACTCACACACGCAGCAGGCACAGCCACAGCCAAAATCAGAGCCCTTTCTGCGAATTGATTTTCGTTCGGCAAAGACAACCGGCATGGGGCAGAGCTGGTTCCTGCCCCATGCCAAAGCTCATCGTCAGGGGATTTGCGCCAAGTCTTGCCAGATCCGAGGCAAAGGCGCTTTCAATGGCAACAACTCCCATAGCCAAGGTAACAAATCTGCATGTACTCCCATTTGGAGGTCTTTCTTTGAGGGCACCCTTGGGGTTGGCTTTAAAACCGAACTAAAAGCAGAATCGCCTTTGGGATCCGTGTTTTGAGACGCACCCCATTGCACATCGGCGCTTCCTTCATGCCATGTCCCGGGGAGCCCCGCGGCATCGCCCCCGAAGATGGAGGGATTGTGCCGCGGGTTCCGGAAGGAGCCTCAGACCCGATGGCGGAAACACCCTGCTCTGTGCATTCGAACCTCCCCCCACCCGCAAAAGGTATGGGTCTATTGGCAAAGGGTCTAATCCCCAACCTTCTGTTTTTGGCCGGACTACCATGTCCAAGCGCAATCCTGCTGAAACCTACATGTTTGCCAATTTCTCACACGAAGGTGTGTAGGAGATGTCGATGATCTGTCGTGCCTCCCTACTGTGGACATGCAACAAAAGCAAGATCGAAGTTCGTATTCCATTCCTGCACTGTCCCTCACAACACACAAGTATTGTGTCATGCCCTTATCTTCAGACAATAGCCATCAAAACATCTGGCAGAAGTTGAGTGTATGATCGTGGCTTAATGGCTTGCCAAAAGAAGGTCGCACCTGCCCCGCCTGGAACCTATAACAAGCTCTTGTTTTCGACCCAAATACTTGCAATCCGAAACTCTTGCTTGGAAGCATAGCTAAGGATCAAAGAAGACTCGGAGAAACAACACAACAAAAAAACATGTCAGAGGAATTGAGCCAGTTATTTGTTTTTTCCAAGGCTCTCATTTGCAAAATTGTGCAGACCAGCGGCAGTATGTCAAAGGCTTCAGGTGGGGCCTGCGCCGAGGTACGCCAAGCGAAGCGGACAGACTTGACCGGACGGCGAGGTTTCGCTTGTAGGCAACTCCCTCGAAAAGCCGTTGGTGGACACAAACCCCCATGTCAATAATGTCCACCAAAGGGTCCCCCAATTAAGACTCAAGCCCGAACAATGAGCCTGCATGCGCGGGAATACCCTGTCTCTCTTTCAAATCCATGTACATGGAAGCAGTTTGAGTGCCAGCAGTACACATCCTCTGGCCTGTAAAGAACCGCATCTGTCATCCCTTCCTATGCTGTGAACACCCAAAAGAATCACTCGTCTTGCATACAATATACTCGCCTTGCGCCTTTTCTTCCGGAGATCGTCGTCTTCGACAATGCGCACACGGAGCCGTAAACCAACATGCCTGTGTATAATATGTCTATATATATATATATATATCCGCAACGAGGAGAAAAGCTTAAAGGCCACCCAATTCTGAGCATCCAGCAGGGCCGGTTTGGTATAAGAGCCAATCAGCACCACATGTTTCGAATAACGTTAAGCTCGGAGTAATCTGGAGGACCATACCAATCCAAGGATTCTCACTGTTATTTGCACGGCTCGGATTGCCCTATCTCCGTTCCGTGGAGACAGAGGCTCCACACTTTAAGGGCCGGCAGGTATTGTTTGAAGCCAGGGAAAAGAAAAACAGGAGCCCTGGTTTAAACCGGTTCTCACCTGCCCCGAAGCGAAGCCAAGGCGCCAAAAGCCGCGGCAGCCGGAGGATGCGTCGGGGCATTGGGAGACGCTCTCCTACTTGGCGTTGGGGGCTTGCTTAATGCAAAAAACACGCCACACGGCGCTTCATGACTCCCCGCATGAGAGAATTGGCCCGTCCTGGTTTGGAGTCCTTGGCCATGGATCATTGGACAGGAGCACGTGCCCTCATTGGTCAGAGACTGGCAACCAGCAGGCCTTCGCTCCAGCATTCAAAATAGCTTCGATGCATAGCATCGCACCTGGTCGCTTCCTTGCATCTCCGCTTCAGGTGGTAAGGCAACTGAAAAATCGCCCACCAACAAATTATATTGAGCCGATTGTGTGGTAAACAAGCATGAGGACTGGCAAGCGTCTTGGAACACAGGGGTCAAAGCCTCCCAAGCCTCAAATCCGAAACCCAAAAGGCAAAACCCCTCCTGGCGCAGAAGAAGGTCGCACACCGGCAGCTGGTAGAGGAAGGGATGAGCCTGACAGTGTTCTCCGATCGAACATTTCGCGACATCCCAGTCGCACGACTAAACAGAATGATTTCTCGACTTGTTTGGCAGGGCCCTCCGTGCGCAAAACTCCTATATATGTCAGCATGAAACGCATTGACCCTCTGATGATAACACAAAACCAATGCCGTACTTGTTGGACCCGCAATTCCTATTGTGTATCTGCAAGCGCCCAATCAGTCAACAAGCCATCATGCATTGTCTGGATTTTTTGAATTTCAACAATCGGTTCTGAACTCTCCGCAGCATCAATCTGAGAAATGCGTTGAGCAAGCTCAGGCAAGGTTGTATCATATGTGATGGCAGTCGGCACCACTCGGCATGTTGATCAGGTCTCAGCTCTCGCGCTTCACACTGTTGATTGGTGGAGCGCTTCAGTCACCCGAGTCACAGTAGCCACAGCGCATCTGGCACAACGAACCGATTGTTCTGGCCCTCAACAGTTCATTATCTGGCAATAAGGAGCCAATATGCTAACGCTTTGACCCAGGAATCGCAGCTTGCCCATCATACGATGGATGCGCTTCTGGCTTTGCTCGCCGAGAACTTTGAGACTGAGTGATTCTAGACCAAATAGCAGCAGGACTACTAAATCAAAACAAATCAAGAACATGACCTCTCTAAGCACTTGCACAAGTGAAATCATTTATAATCGAACTCCACTGAGCAAGATCCTCCAAAAACAGCTGGAACCAGACGTTCCATTTTAGCCTTCAGTAGTCCCCGGCGCGCCTCCATCATAGACTGCAGGACCTGCACTAGGCTTCAACAGGCACCCCACCGACTGACATGGAACCCTTTCAGGCCGTTGGGTTCCATGTAATTCAATCCCCCCGGCAATCACCGGTGGGTCATATACTGCTTTGCAGATAGCTCACGTTTACTTGATGCGACAATCACAAGCACATCTGATGTGTCAAGCAGTCCGGCCCCAGCTGCGGCCGCAGCCCCTTTCCCTTCGCCCCTGCCCCAATTGGATTTCCCTCCTAGCGCCAGCCCACCCTACCCTTGGTTATGCTTGAACTACGAGCCCAGAGTTAAGCCTGAGAGCCCCGAACCTGGCCTCACTCCGTTGTGGATTTCTCGGAAACCCAGGCGCGCACGTGGCTGGCCACGCGCGGGACGCGTAGCCGGCGCGGCTGGCCAAGCCCCAGCCCCTGTCTCTTGGCCCATAGCTCCCCAGCCTCCGACTGCCTAGCGAGCCACCCCACAGCTCTTGGGGCTTCACCCAGCTCCAGCCCTTGCCTCTGGCCCTGAGCGACCGGCTGCAAAAGTTACCCGGCCCCAGCCCCCCTTGCCCTTGGACTGCGGCTGTGGCTCTCCTTCAGCGAGCTTCAAACAGCTGATACTTTCATGCATGGCCAGCCAGCTTCCTGGCCCTGGTAAGAACGGCAGTCAAAGGAAGCCTCCACAGTAAATCCGCCGACCCCGCCTAGGAGCGTGCTCTGGCGGGGCGGCGCCTGGGATACCGAAGGTCTCATCGAAGGGCCGCCGAAAGTCTCATCGCGTGCGTGCCTGCGCCTCTCGCTCCACCGTCGCTAGTCTTCGTAACGGGTTCCGAAACTGCGCGTCCGGCACCCTCCGCGCGCGCCTTTTCGCTCCATTTGTGGTACTTTTGGGCACGCCCTGCCACTGCGCTTGAACGTTTCGGGGGGCGCGGGGGGCGCGCCTCTGCGTGACTGCGGCCCGGCCGTGCCTGGGCTGGGCTTGGCCCTGTCGCCCCCGGGCCCCTCCTAGTCTTCGTGGGTTCCGAAACTGCCGTTCCGGCACCCTCCGCACACGCCTTTTCGCTCCATTTTTGGTACTTTTGGGCACGCCCTGCCACTGCGCTTGGGCGTTTCGGGGGGCGCGGGGGGCGCGGGGGGCGCGCCTCTGCGTGACTGCGGCCCGGCCGTGCCTGGGCTGGGTTTGGCCCTGTCGCTCCCGGGCCCCTCCTAGTCTTCCTAACGGGTTCCGAAACTGCCGTTCCGCCACCCTCCGCACACGCCTTTTCGCTCCATTTTTGGTACTTTTGGGCACGCCCTGCCACTGCGCTTGGGCGTTTTGGGGGGGGGGCGCGCCTCTGCGTGACTGCGGCCCGGCCGTGCCTGGGCTGGGTTTGGCCCTGTCGCTCCCGGGCCCCTCCTAGTCTTCCTATCGGGTTCCGAAACTGCCGTTCCGGCTCCCTCCGCACACGCCTTTTCGCTCCATTTTTGGTACTTTTGGGCACGCCCTGCCATGGCGGGCGCGGGGGGGCGCGCCCTCTGCGTACTGCGGCCCGGCCGTGCCTGGGCTGGTTTGGCCCTGTCGCTCCCGGGCCCTCCTAGTCTACGTAAACGGTTCCGAAACTGCGTTCCGCACCCTCCGCACAACGCCGTTTTCGCTCCCAGTTATTGGTACTTTGGGCACGCTTCTGCGGGCCCCGCCGTGCCTAGGCTGTGTTTGGGGGCTCTGTCGCTCCCGGGCCCCTCGCTAGTCTTCTAAACTGCCGTTCCGGCACCCTCCGCACCCGCCTTTTCGCTCCATTTTTGGTACTTTTGGGCACGCCCTGCCACTGCGCTTGGGCGTTTCGGGGGGCGCGGGGGGCGCGGGGGGCGCGCCTCTGCGTGACTGCGGCCCGGCCGTGCCTGGGCTGGGTTTGGCCCTGTCGCACCCGGGCCCCTCCTAGTCTTCCTAACGGGTTCCGAAACTGCCGTTCCGCCACCCTCCACACACGCCTTTTCGCTCCATTTTTGGTACTTTTGGGCACGCCCTGCCACTGCGCTTGGGCGTTTTGGGCTGGGTTTGGCCCTGTCGCTCCCGGGCCCCTCCTAGTCTTCCTAACGGGTTCCGAAACTGCCGTTCCGCCACCCTCCGCACACGCCTTTTCGCTCCATTTTTGGTACTTTTGGGCAAGCCCTGCCACTGCGCTTGGGCGTTTTGGGGGGCGCGGGAGGCGCGCCTCTGCGCTAGTCTTCCTAACGGGTTCCGAAACTGCCGTTCCGCCACCCTCCGCACACGCCTTTTCGCTCCATTTTTGGTACTTTTGGGCACGCCCTGCCACTGCGCTTGGGCGTTTTGGGGGGCGCGGGGGGCGCGCCGCTGCGTGACTGCGGCCCGGCCGTGCCTGGGCTGGGTCTGGCCCTGTCGCTCCCGGGCCCCTCCTAGTCTTCCTAACGGGTTCGGAAACTGCCGTTCCGGCACCCTCCGCACGCGCCTTTTCGCTCCATTTTTGGTACTTTTGGGCACGCCCTGCCACTGCGCTTGGGCGTTTCGGGGGGCGGGCGGGGGCGCGCCTCGCGTGACTGCGAAGCCGCCGTGCCTGGGCTGGGTCTGGCCCTGTCGCTCCCGGGCCCCTCCTAGTCTTCCTAACGGGTTCGGAAACTGCCGTTCCGGCACCCTCCGCACGCGCCTTTTCGCTCCAGTTTTGGTACTTTTGGGCACGCCCTGCCACTGCGCTTGGACGTTTTGGGGGGCGCGGGGGGCGGCCCGGCCGTGCCTGGGCTGGGTTTGGCCCTGTCGCTCCCGGGCCCCTCCTAGTCTTCCTAACGGGTTCCGAAACTGCCGTTCCGCCACCCTCCGCACACGCCTTTTCGCTCCATTTTTGGTACTTTTGGGCACGCCCTGCCACTGCGCTTGGGCGTTTTGGGGGGGGGGCGCGCCTCTGCGTGACTGCGGCCCGGCCGTGCCTGGGCTGGGTTTGGCCCTGTCGCTCCCGGGCCCCTCCTAGTCTTCCTAACGGGTTCCGAAACTGCCGTTCCGGCACCCTCCGCACACGCCTTTTCGCTCCATTTTTGGTACTTTTGGGCACGCCCTGCCACTGCGCTTGGGCGTTTCGGGGGGCGCGGGGGGGCGCGGGGGGCGCGCCTCTGCGTGACTGCGGCCCGGCCGTGCCTGGGCTGGGTTTGGCCCTGTCGCTCCCGGGCCCCTCCTAGTCTTCGTAACGGGTTCCGAAACTGCCGTTCCGCCACCCTCCGCACACGCCTTTTCGCTCCATTTTTGGTACTTTTGGGCACGCCCTGCCACTGCGCTTGGGCGTTTTGGGGGGCGCGGGGGGCGCGCCTCTGCGTGACTGCGGCCCGGCCGTGCCTGGGCTGGGTTTGGCCCTGTCGCTCCCGGGCCCCTCCTAGTCTTCCTAACGGGTTCCGAAACTGCCGTTCCGCCACCCTCCGCACACGCCTTTTCGCTCCATTTTTGGTACTTTTGGGCACGCCCTGCCACTGCGCTTGGGCGTTTTGGGGGGCGCGGGGGGCGCGCCTCTGCGTGACTGCGGCCCGGCCGTGCCTGGGCTGGGTTTGACCTGGTTGACTTCTTATGGAAGCTAATGACTTGACATGTTGACTCAAATTCTGCTTTCTCCGCCGGCGCCTCCTGGGTGCCTAGCGGGCCTTTTGCGTCGAGATGCTGTTGCAAGCCAGTCTTTGGACTGCGCTGTATGTGCAAAAACACGCCTCGCGAACCTGCCTGCGCAGGAACTGGTGGGCTTTTTTCTCTGCGCTCTATGCGATCCGACCCCCGCCATGGCGCGGGACGAGTGCCGCTGCAACACATGGACGCTAACTGCCCGCAAAAAAAAACAGGGTCGGCGGCACCCGGGCGTAGCCCGTTCTATAACATAGCTTTTCCGAGGCGGCGCGAAGCGCTTGGAATTGTCCCAAACGGCAGTAAATGAGGAGTAAGGCTCCAACTGAATGCCCACTTTCTGGTATCAGTCTGCTGCAATCACTGAAAACTTCCACTTGAGATTTCCGGCACACACCTGCGTGCCCAAATGTGCATTCGACCAACCCGCAACCCGCCGACCCGCCGACCGTGCCTCCGGTCTCAAGCACAAGGGCACGCCGCGGCCTGAAAAGCCGAAGCCGAAAACCAAAACATGTAGCCATGTCTAAGTATAACTGAGTTGACTGGTTCCGGTTTAAACTTTTGGCACTCAACAAAAATGAGCCTCTCAAATGAACCAACTACAGGATAGTTTGACTGATCCACCCACCCACTCAGCCATGGAACCCAGTAACGGGAACGGAAACATGTATCAAATCATGCAAGTTCAGATTGAACTCTCCCACAAACGAGCATTGAACTATATCTGACAGGTTCAAGACTCGCCAAAAACAGCCTCCTTGCGTAGTGATTGTCGATGTTTGACCAAACGTGACATCCTCACTTGGATGATAGACGATTGCGTTGGTTCCTCCTTGGTTGGCCAAATGAGTTGTCCCCTGGTTTGATCATTTTACTGACCAACGTTCTAACATGGAGGAAGCAAGCTGAAAAAGCGAATCTCTAAACCTACTTGAGTGCATTCAAACCTCGCCTTTGGGCATTTGACAATCTACTGCCGTGAAGATCGCAACGAGTCAAAACGGCTGCAAAGAGAATCATCGCTGCCAAACCAGAACGGGGAACTCTCCCTCCAGCAAGTTGCGGGAAGACAACTTTCTGTGGGGGGAACCTCGCGCTTCACTTCCATTTGGAACGGGAAGTCCGTTGAAACTCCGCGAAACGGTGACTGGGCGCCGGCTTGTGAGCTGCGTGAAGCAGGGCGTCGCCCGCCCGAGGAGCTCCCCGCAGCGAGCGCTGGGCGGATCCCGAGTCCGGTGGGAAAGCGAGTGGCAAGTGAGTGCGTGGTATGTCATGAGCATTTAACATGCGAAATCGGACATGCCCAAAGACACAAGAGCCACCGGCCCACTTGGAATCAGAACTTGGAGCATGCCCTTCATTTCTCTGACCGATTGGCGAATCCGTTGCACTGGCCATGCTTGCTGGACTCCTTCCCTGCCCTTGCCAAGGCAGGCTTTGTTGGAGCCTCAAGCCTTGTCCATGGCTCTGGCACACTCCGTGGGCGAGAAGCTTGGCAAACACAAAATACGTGGTTTTCCAAAAAACTGCAGCTATGTCCTCCTGACGAACTGCAGATCTACCTGCTCTTCAGGGCCGGAATCCCGGGGTCGAAAGGTCCCCGTCTACCTGCCCATCCCATGCCACGCCTGCCAGAGGCCTCTTTCACCTCCAGCAACGGGTCCGTCCCGCCAAGTGGCTGCATTGTGGCTCTCAAACTTGCATTTGAGGATGGCTTTCCCTCTTCAGACACCAGTTTAGAGGGTCAGGTCACTGTCATGATTCCAGTCAGAATGTGCCTTACATCGGTTCCTGAGTTTCGACCAAAGAATTCCTGCAAGTGTCCGAAGTGCCTCCAAATCAAGAGTGTGCCCAAAAGAGCCTTGTGGACCAGTGTCCACTCCACGGATGATCCCAGTTGCCAGAACCCGAATAAATCACAGCAAACTGTTGCAAGACATCAGGATGCCTAAAGAGTATTTGGCTCCAAACCAAACCATGACTGGAATGTTATGTTGTCTTCTTTTGTGGTTCAGTGCAATATCTGCCAAACTGTTCCGCACCATTTCCACTGGACCAAACTTTTCTAGGTCGTCCAGTGCAATGCATGATGCTTTTCTGGAGGTATGTGATGATTGATAGGCTTTTCCCTGTTGGGGGCCAAGCACTTGCTTCACAGCAAAGCTGAAGCTTGCGCAAAGCTACACCATTTCAGACTTCGAGGAATGCCTCGTTGCGGGTTGTTGCCAAGCTCATGTTTGTCACCGTTCTGATTTTTCCAGGGGGCAGGAATTGCTTTTGGTTTTTCCTTTTTTGGGGAGTCATTTTGCTGTATGGGAATGTTGGGCATTTTGTGCAACATGTGGCGCAAAGATTTGCCAAATGTCCAACCAAAATACAACTTTAAAGTCTTCCAGAAACTTTGTGATATTTCAGACCCCGCATGTGTGAGGGAAAAAAACGTGCACTGTGCAGTGTGACCCTTTGTTGAGGGGAGGAACTATTTTCTGACAAATGCTGAGACTGCCCTCTTGCTACAGTTTTTGCCAAGGTACAAATCCATGTTGATTGAAACACTTTCCTGTTGTTGGCTCGGCTCAATGCGTGCTTGGTTGAAACTACATGGAAATGGAATTTGGTAAAAGGAAATCCAACCGAAAGTTGAACTTGACTTGACTTGAAACAGCATCTTAGATTGGATCGTCTTCTCAAGTTTGATGTTCAATAGATGCTATTGACATGTTTGCTTGATTCGAACTAGATAAACAATCCATAAATTCGATAGAAGTGCATTCCAAATGCTATTGTAAGAGAGTTGAATTAGAGTGCAAATGGAATCTTATAAACCGTATTGAATTAGAATTCGATAGAAGTGCATTCCAAATGCTATTGTAAGAGAGTTGAATTAGAGTGCAAATGGAATCTTATAAACCGTATTGAATTAGAATGCAAATGGAACTGCACAAGGACACGAGGCTCCTTTGCAATTGATGGGATGTCAATTCGCTGCTGATGTTCCCTGCCAAATGTGTTGCGTACTCTGGTTTTGAGCTGGAGCTGCCAATCGCTTGCTACAAGTGACTGAGATTCAAGATTCAAGATGCTGGAAAAAGGATGTCCGGGTAGCACATGTATGTATTATATATATATATACATATATATATATATAATACTATTTTCCATATACATACTGTGAGGCTCATTGTATATACAATATCCACAAGGGGCCAAGAGGGGAATGGAATGTTAACCCAGGATTTTTTTTAACCCGTCCCATTGAGGGGGTGTTCCCCAAAACCGAGGACACCCCCATAATAAACAGGGGTAAAAAACATCGGGGTGACCTTAAAAGGAGTCACTTCACAAAGCTACCCCGTTGGCCCGCCCACTTCGGCTCGTACACTTGAAAAGCATCGATTCTATGTGCTCGCACGCATTTTCTCGAGCAAACTAACATGGAAGCCACAAAAGGGAACGAGGAGATTCCTCTCCACAAAAGCCATGGCTCGACGCCCGCCTCAAAGATCGACTTTGCAGGGGGCAACGGCCTAAGCGAGCGAGACATCAACTCGACTGCATGCTGTCGAACTCACATATGAGTCATGGTCAAGTCATGACTGAGTCATTGCAAGGGCATGGGAGACTTCAGGCTCGTCCCCTGCTTGTTGTGGATTCTTTAGTGAGTCCCCCATGTTCCTCCCAAATTGACCATGGACGGGCTGGATAAGTTTCACCGAATCTGCTGTATCAACTGCACTTCAGAAACTCCGTGGTCTTTGCACATGTCCTGTGGGTTTTGAAACGCATTTCCCGGTGCCATGTTCAAGGGAACTGCCCCGCTTGAAGTCCTCTGACCTTACCCCGAGAGGTGAAAGGTATGAGTGGCGAAACCTATATATTCTCTATCTGAATGGCCTCTCTTGGAGGAAGGGTTGGCCGTGTGGAATTTAGTCCTGAAAGGAAACTGCTCTCAAACTATTGCCATATCCATGAGTGGCCGTCCCTCATTGGCCACACGATGGTAGCCCGCTTAGCCCGCTTGACTTGAGCATTGCGTATGCGTGCCTATGAGCACGATTTCAGATTGGACTCTTCATGGTGCAACACATTCAATCACTGCGAGATGTTTCGCTCTTCCACCTGCGCTTGCATTTTGTGCTGAGGGTGGCTTGGCAGTCACCAAAGTTGAGCTGGATTTGTGGTACCCTGCTATGTGATTAGGACTCCTTGTCATTGTCGGAAAATTCTACAGCTCTACAGTGGCTTACACGGCCAAGCAAGCGGCCACTTGGCGGCTTGCCCGAGGTCCTGACTTATCCTCATCCTCCTTGGCCTTCTCCTCCGATCCAAGTGACGTGCAATTTGCTGTTGACAGCGGCACAGTGCCGGCACTTTGCAAGACGACTGCCGACGAAGGAGCCTTACTTCAAAGCTGGCCGATCCACTCTCCCACTTGCGTGACAACAGGGACAATGGTACTATTCCAAATTCATTGTCGCACCACAAGCACAATGAAGAAGCAAAACAAATGGTCGGATGAGTCTCAAAAAGGACAATCCATGTTTCACAGATTGGGCTAAAGTATCGGCGTCACCTGTGACCTTCTTGCCCCGCCAGTGCCCCGTCTGGTCCCCTGCCTCACGTTTTTTGCCCATGCAAACCGGAGGCCCTCTCGGCCTGCAAAAACGGAATCTCGCATCTTGCACTGCAGCTCAATTGTTGATTAATGCACCGGGCTGCTTCGCTGAACAAAAACCGCCGCAGCATGGGTAAGGGTTCCTGGAGCGTCAAAGGCAAGCTGGGAATAAATGGGTCCCATCAACCTCTGGCTGCATCACAACTTCTTGCGGCGAAATCGGATTTGTTTTTGGCCTGGCTCGGCAGGTCACAGCCGCAATCCGAGTATTCGTGTGTGACGCAAACACGCTTGATTGAACGATGAAATCAAGTACGAAGATGATTGACAAAATTCATCTGGTTGCCAGAGTAAGTTTAGCACAATCCTGGGGCATCAAATAGCTAAGAAGCATTGTACAGGAGAAAAACATTTGCCACGCCGTTCCCTGTCCGACATGTTGGCTTGTCTCTCGCTACCCTTTTCACAAAAATGATAGACTGACTCCTGCACTTGGCTCCGAATGTTTCCGCGCCTATTGAGCCTCAGCGCATCAGTTGGGCATGGCACGGCCGTGACACCCGCTCACTGCGAGTTTGTTGTTGCACATGCGGCTGGGATACATGTTTTGTGAATCGTGTCCTTGTGCGGAACCTTCCACCTTCCACCTTGCACCTGCAACACGTGTCCGGTGCAGATTGCCAACAACCAACTCCAAGGTTCCACACACCTAGTTGTCCTAAACCGACCTGTAGGAACACCCTGGCCAGGCGAACATCTCCTGCAACCAGCTGGTGGCGTCACAATGCGCAACATTGAAACATATGCAGTTGCCATGAAAGAGTCTACAAAGGTCATTTCGCGGTGGTCGCCAACTTTCCTCGGTTGAGTTTGCAATCAATACAAACAACACATACACAAGTATCGCGTTTTTCAAATGAAGTTGAATGAAAACACGTTGGCCTTGGGCCGTTCTCTAGAGACCGCCAGGGTTACGCACAATCGGAATGTGATTTTGTTTAAGGTTCCGGAGGAGGCTTATGTAGTGCCCATTCTCGGGCCACGAAGAGCCAGAGTTTATGCAAGGGTCACGTTTTGTTATGAGTCGGCGAACCTGATGAAGACTTGGAGAATCGTTGCCTGACATTGTTTCTTGGCGGCTTCGCGCCGAGTGGTTGCGAGAGATGCAATCAGCGACCAAAGGCAAGCAGACCACCGAGACATAGATTGAGCCTTGAGAATAACAAAAATTGGGTCTGGAATCTAATTGCATCGTGTGCTCCATACACACGTGCAAAGCATTGCGCGCAAAGCGAGGTCTCCGCATCTGTCACCCGGCCACTCTCTTTCACGAACTTCTTCCACACAACATGCTGAGAAACATCCCCCGCCTCGCCTTACCAACACGCGCCTCGTGTCAAATAATCCAGCAGACTGGCCAGCTCACTGGCGTTTCCACTCGGTTCTGGCGGCTGGCTCTTTCTCCTGCGCATATCTCCCAATGAGGTCGTTCCCGTTGGGCCGTCTTTGCAACCGACGGCCGAACGTTTCAAAAACTAACAGGGCTCCTGTTCATGTTTTGTCTTTTATACATATCCTTCTGTGCGTTTGTTGAAATTTGTTATTTCCGTATTTTTTGCTTGATTTGTGTCTGTGTTCTTTCTGTCATTTTTTCTTGATTTCGTTCTTTATTTCTTTCTTTTTGATATTTCTTTCTTTCTTTCTTTCTTTCTTTCTTTCTTTCTTTCTTTCTTTCTTTCTTTCTTTCTTTCGTTCTTCCTTTTTCTCTCTTTCTTGCTTCTATATTTTTTGTTTTTTCTGTCTTCCTTTCTTTCTTTATATTTGTTCGTTGTTTCTTTATGTTCGTTATTTATTTCTTTCTTTCTTGCTTCTATATTTTTTGTTATTTCTGTCTTCCTTTCTTTCTTTATATTTGTTCTTTGTTTCTTTATTTTATTTCTTTCTTTATTTATTTCTTTCATTATTTCTTTCTTGCTTTCTTTCTTTCTTTCTTTCTTTCTTTCTTTCTTTCTTTCTTTCCTTTCTTTCTTTCCTTTCTTTCTTTCTTTCTTTCTTTCTTCCTTTCTTTCTTTCTTTCTTTCTTTCTTTCTTTCTTTCTTTGTTTCTTGTTTTCTTCCTTCCTTCCTTCCTTCCTTCCTTCCTTCCTTCCTTTCTTTCTTTCTTTCTTTCTTTCTTTCTTTGCCTTCTTCCGTCTTTGCTTTCTTTCTTCATGTCTTTCGTTCTTTCTTCCCTCCTTTTTTCCTTCCTTGGTTTCTTCCTTCCTTCCTTCCTTCCTTCCTTCCTTCCTTCCTTCCCTTCCTTCCTTCCCCCTCCCCCTCCCCCTCCCCCCCCTCCCCTTCCCCCTCCCCCTCCTCCTCCCCCTCCCCCTCCCCCTCCCCTCCCCCTCTCCCTCTCCCTCTCCCCCCCTCCCCCTCCCTCCCCCTCCCCCTCCCTCCGCAGATTCTAGGGGGCTGGGGGTTGATGGTTGCCTATTCTGTTTTTTTCCGTATTTCAACACGTGTTCTATCTTATTCGTTTTTTCAAGGCTGATTCTGGGGCCAAGAAATAACAATATGAATGTGGTAACGAATTGATGATTTGGTCCCCTGTTTCGTTCCCGATTTCAACCTTTAGTTTTATTGATTGAAAGAGGTTAGGACTTTCTGTGGTTTCACGGCTTGGCTTTTGGGCTGTTGTTGTGGTGTTCGTCTTCAATCGTCCCATTAATTCGGTCGCCCTGCCCCGTCCGCGACGACATCATCTTGTTCATCGTTAGTTTTGTGTGGATGCCCAGATACTGCGGAGTGGAGAGACTTTTGCACTGCTTGTCAGATTGACAAGCTTTGACGTCTTTGAACACGGAAACGACTTTGTGAGCTTTTGTCTTCAAGCCTTTGATAGTGCCGACCATTCCTGTTTGACACTAACGGCGCCAAAGAAGATGGGTTACTCGGCATCCTCGTCCTCTGACGCTGGCAACAATACCCAGCCTACCAAGGATACGTCGTCAGATGTCATCATTGCCCGTGTCCTTCAACAGTTGGAAGAGTTGGACATTCAGGATGTGGATAGTACTTCGTTCAAGTCCCTCGTTGAGAAGACGAAGGAGGTGGTGAAGAAGTACAACAACAAGGACAAGGTCGTCTTGACACCCGAGGAGCGCGTACAGGAGCGCATTGCCAAAGCAAAAGCCCGTGCCTTGGAGAAGCAGGAGGAGGGGGCTCGTTTGCGTTCGGAGAAAATCGTCCTGACCCTCACCAATGGCACCGACACCTACACTATCACCGTTGTCCGTGGCGTTACGGTTGGAACTCTTCGCTTGATGTTGGGTCAGCAGATGGGCATCGGACGCACCAAGGCATTGCGTTTGTCTTTGACCCGTGGCGCTACAATCATCACATCATCGCCACGCAAAACGCTCTTGCGCCTCAACATCCAGTCGGGGGAGACCATCTACTTCAGCGGGACTCAGACCGGTGAGCCAGATGATGACACAACCGTCGTGTCGCAGGACTCTGTGGATGTGATGGTTGCTCGGGACATCATTGAGGACGAGGAGGACAGCGATGGCAATATGAGCATCACCAACGAAGGCATCGACGAAGACGCTGATGAAGAAAAGATTCAGCCAAGCAAGAAGAAGTAAGTGAGCCGTCAACAAGCTGTTTGTTCGGATTGAGCCTTTTGATTTTGGAGTAGCTTGTGACGTTTGCTGTGCAATTACCACAAGTCGATGAGAGCATACCCAAAAGCCTGAGATGATTTAAAAAAAAAAAAAAAGCCTGTGTCCTTTGCATTGTGCCTTTGAAACGTTTGTTCATTGATGTATGGTGTTGAGCCTACTTGTATTCATCCATAGCCATTTGTGGCTGAATGTTTTAGGACTGTTTCAACAACTAGCCTTTTCTTTGAGCAATGCCTAGCCGTGGTGTACTCAAAGGGCATCTCAAAAAGGAGGCAGGGGTGAAAGCCCTTGTGAAGCGAGCCGTCAACAATATGAAGGACAAGTTAGACCACTACGAGGTCACGAATGAAGTTCCTCCACCACTACAATCTGTCATCCAGCCCATCAAGGAAAAGTTGACTTTGTGGAAGTCTCGCTTCGGCAACGGTGAAGAGGGTGTCATTCAACAGTGCCTTGAGAGCCTACCCGACCACAAGATAGAGGAGTTGTATCAAATCTTCTCAGTCAAAGGCCGTGGAGCCAACACAGAAGACAAAATTTTGGATAGTTCCTTTGTAGTGGTCAGTGAGCTGAACGACATCAACGGCTTCATCAACGAGCTGTTCAAGCTGAAGGCGGAGGTAATCAACACCTACACCGAGTTGTATGCCCGAAGCTTCAACAACAGTGTGACCACATCAAGTGAGGTGCAATTCAACAATGAGCCACTCCTTGATATGATTAAGGAGATGATTCGCCACAGAAAAAGGTTGAGACGTGAAGCACAAGCTTCGTCTAATGACGACCGTATCAATGGGAAGGCTAGCGAAGATGCTAAACCGTTGTGTTTTGATGTAAAGCACAGATGACCGGACAAGGGAACCTTCGATACCCAAACCCAAATATCATTGATACCCTGATACCAGTATCCAAGTATCGTTGATACCCTGATACCCAAACCCAAGTATCATTGATATCCTGATACCAGTATCCAAGTGTCAAGGTTCCTGTCTGACACAATCCGTTTCTCGTACAGTTTGACAATGGCACTGACACCTAGGGCGATTTTGACCTGATGACATTAATTTGTTACCAACTGGTTTCCCTGTGTAGTGCTTTGATTGTCAATTACAAACCCACGACGTGTGAATGTGGAAAAGGTTACGTGTGCTTTCGTGGTGAGGGGTTGCTGTCCTTTCACGCTTTTCATACGTTTTTCATACGTTTGTCATCGTGCTCGCCGCTCTGAGTTTGGGAAGTCATCGTGATGTATATCTACCTGATTTCCGTCTATGAGGTTTGGCAGTCACAGGGTTTGGGGTGTTCCTTGTCTGGTTTTGGGGAAGGGTTCAAACAAGACATTCAGGGAATGACATTGTGAGGGGTCTTTGGAGCAACAGGGTTGAGACTTCCTCCCCTCAAACATCTAACAAGGGAAAACTCTCGCAAATTGACTGTTTCAATGTTTACCCCCAAACCCATTTTTCAAGGTTTCTTCCATTCAACCTCAACTCCACTTTACCCTACAGTATCCCATCAAAATCACAAAATCCATTTCAAACTCATCACCAACAACCCCAAAATTTCAAGTTTCAAGCCCAAGCCCAAACCCACCCCTTGGATCCGTCCCTGTTTGTCAGAAGGTCCGCCTCCAACGACATCAAGGACGCTCATGACGCTGGTTGCTTGTAATGCTTAATGCCCCCCTTACATCAAACAAACTAACAAATATATCACTAATCAAATCAGTGGGTATCTTATATAAATCCTCTTGCTTATGAATAATGTATCCCTCGCCCCAATCAACCTTTTTACCGCTTGGCAACCGTTGAGCAGTTTCAAGATGTTTTCCATTTAATATCTTACCACAATCCCTTTTACATAATGGTCTGGGTTTCCACGTTTCAATGTTAGTCCACAACCTCGTTCGCTTTCTGTAGTTCATACCATATTTACAGTAATCCACATCACAATATTTCAAACCATTCATAAAGGGTTGTTCCTTCAAGAGTCCAGTTTGAGGGTTTCCAATGATCCACCACTTCGGTTTGAAGTAGTCGATGATTTCAAGGGTTTTCAAAACAATACTATTAGCATACTCAATCTTTCGGACACCCCTCGTCTTCGCTATGCTGTATTCTGTGCACGGAGGAGATGACCAAATCACATCAAAATCATCAACATCAAACTCTTTGTAGTTCCAACTCAGAATATCCTGATTGATATCAGCATTTTTCAAATCCAAGGAAATCACACTGTAGCCCAAATCACGAGCGACCATACCAACACTGCCTGTGCCACTAAATAATTCTAATAATTTCATATCATTAGAATTATTTAGATATTTATTTTATGGAAAAGTGCCCATACGGGATTGAATTGAAGGCATCTAAGTAATGTATGTTATTTTCATAATTACTGAGTGATTGCTTGACTTGAGACATTGAATATATTTGATGTGTTTTGCTCCTGATGAAGTTGTAGGTGATTTCGTGCTTTTTGTTGTGATGCAGTGCTTCATGATAGTTCTGATAGGTCAGTTCCTTCTTCACCTTGTGCTTGACGACGCCTTTGGATTTCTTGTGTTCCTCATCCTCGCCGTGGATTGTGAAAGCATAGGATTTAGGTTTCAACCCGATGAACCTAGTAATGATTTTTCCGTTGACTTCATATTTGTACATTCCTAAGACCTTCTTATTTGTTTTGTCATGGCATGGATGTTCAACAGGATAATCGCTAAAATCCATATGTTGCTTGATACCTTAAAAATCCTTGTAGACATCATCAGTGAAGGTTTGGATTACATAGCTGTCAGTATCTGTATATATCAATTTGATATTTGCGTTGTATTTCTTTTTCAACACACAATAGTAAAACTCATACATATGTAATTTACTCAAATCCAATATTGCCATTCCTAAGAATATGGGTTTATCAAGCTTCAAGACCGACTTTGTTTTTTTCCACTCCTACCAGATTTTCATTTATGATGAGTCTATTTTTGAAAGTAGGATTATTCACACATTTTTCATATCTAACATCATTATCTACCAATTCAAAATCCATATGTTTTCTCTTGTCTTCCATAGTTTTTCCATACACCGCGTTATTCATTAATTTAAACAAATCCTTCTCAAAGTCGAGAATCGCTTCTTTCCTCTTACCAGTGTTGAAGTCAATCCACGGTTTCAACCAAGCCCTGTTGAAATCTTATTATCCTATGAACCTTGGTGAGTTTCATACCCATTTCTAGATAATACTGTAAAATCTTGATATGAACCACATATTTTTCTTTATCTTTTAAATTTAATATTCACTTGCTGGTTTTCTCGTCCTTCGGTTCTTTGTTTCCATAGTAGATTTTGAAGATGTCCTTTTGATAGTCTGACAACATACTAGCATTGACATTCATGATTTCAGGTGCTAGTGGATAGTCCGAATGGTAGTCGTGTAGTGTTTCTGGATATTCCAAATCCACTTCAAGGATGAAACCATACTCATCTTTTTCATCCCACTTTTCAATGTTAGGTGTTTTCTTTGTCCATTTGATGTTCTTTAAAGGCAATTTTTGAGACATCGCCAGACCATACAGATTGTTAGCATCTAAGTAGTTGATACAACTTGATGGCTTGCTTTCATCGAAGGCTTCGTCCATATACTTATTGTTTGCCACAGCCAGTTTATGACTGACCTGACACATACCTCCTCGCATTCCCTTTTCAACCATCTCACACATTTCTTTATCGTGCAACTGTTCATTCAACACCAGTTTTCAACAACATAGCTTCCCAAGCGAAGTTAGGAAGCGTATAATAGTGCGCTGGGTCTAAACCGTAGTATTCCGTACATAAGTCTCTAAAGTTTTCACATCGGTTCTCAAATACAAATCGTGATATTGTCCTAATGTTCTAATACCGAAGTGTTTCCAAACCTTTTGTGCCCTTTCATAATCTTTGTCATTGACATGTTCCTCACTTAATTTACTGTAGAACGCTTCTTTTGGTGGTAAGTTTCTTTCAGTAAATCTGTCAACTATCAAAATAGTCATAAGGATAAATCCCCTTGTCAGTCAACAAGTCCAAATCTTCATCGGTTTTAACATATGGATTTCTAACACTGTATCTAAAATTGTTCTTCCAGTTCTCACGCCTTTTATCATCTTCATACTTACTCAACTTTACCAACTTATCCAACGAAGACGATAAGAAGCTAAAACTGTCCTTGAAACAAAGGTTTTTAAAACCAAAGGTTATGAACTTCTCGCTGTTCTGTGCGATACAATCTATTTTAGCATTCTTGCTCAGTTCGTGTGCCTTGTTGATGATTAAGTGAGCGTCATAGTTTTTAAGGTTATGAAGGAAGACTGGAATTTTGTAATACCTCATACTAAAAGCAAGATTACAATCATCATGAGCACAACCTCTATATTTACCAGTCAAATGGCAATGGTCTCTAACTTTTTTATCCCCTTCCTGAAAGCCCTTTCCACAAACGAAACACTTAGTGGCAGTGTCAAAATCTGTTTTATCGTCCTCAGTCATGATTATCTCTTTCACTTCCTTCATTTTCTTTATGACATCCTCTCTGACTTCATTCATTTTCTCAACGAACTTATCCATACAATCTTCGCCTCTGTATAAATAGGGCTCATTGCTTCCAGTGATGGCATTGACTACGTTAATCATAAAACCACAAGGGCGATGATTTTGATACGATGTTGTTGTCGCTTTTGTCGATTTGCTTTTAACATCAATGGGTACTGTTAAGCATTCAAAGTCTGCATATATGACATAAGGCGCTTTCAGTTTCTTAAAATGGTTCTTAAATTCAATGGTGACTCCTGCTTCTGGCATCTTTATTTCTTGTCCTTCAACAGCTAGACAACCCTGTTCTTCGTGTTGTTTTAATAACTCTTCTGACTTGAAACCGTGCGAGCACGTCCTACATGATACTTTCAGTGATACTTTGGTCTGCCTGTTTTG